TTATTTTAACTTAAAATACAAATATGCTTAAAACTTACAATATTTTGTTTTTTTAACAGTCTTTGATAACTGACATCTCCCAACCCCCCCCCCCAAAAAAAAAGATGCCTAGAATTGAAAGGTTGGGGAATAGTGAGGTTTGGCAATGCAATTTTTAAAATAAAAAATTAAGAAAAAACACAATGATCACAGCAGAAAATAAAAATATAAACTGAAAATATAAAATGCTCTGAGCCTAGGAACCTAAAATGGCTGGGCATTGCAAGCTTCTCCCCCCCACCCAGGTCTACTCAGAGTGGCAGTGGCTCTCCAGTCCAGGGGTCATTTCGTAGAAAAAGAGCTAGGGGAACTCATTAGCATAACTCATTAGCATATGCCACACCCCCTAACATCAGGGGCCCGGCGGTGGACCTGCAAGGCCAGCGGGAGTGCAGCATATAGAAGCCTCATCCTTCTGGGTTTTTTTGCTCAGAATTCTTGTAGGGGGTAGCTCCAACCTTTATTATCTCCTGCACCTTATCCTTTTATTTTTGGGATGTAATGACCCTCCTTTTGCTGTGGGTTCCCAGGTTAGAGTACTCACTCAGGCACCCATTCTCAGGTCCATTCATCAGACAAGCTGGCTCAAAGCATCAGCCCTGTATTAGCAAGGAGACAACTCCAGCAAGCAACAGCTTCAGCTATACAAACACTGGAAAATGAAACTACTTGACCTCCACTCCATTGAAATACATTGCAGCACAGACAAAGTTGCAAAGAAAATGCAGAATGGATTTCCCATTAAGGTCTCTGGACCCAGATAAACTACTCTGGGACTGGAATGACAGCCACCAGAGTGAAAAGACAGTCCCTGGGAATAGCAGAAGCATTCTGGGATTGGAATGAGGGCCCCCACAGTGGAATTCCATTCCCAGAATACTGCTGCTACTCCCAGGCAGCCCCGTAGCTAGGGATTTTGGGGGGAGGGGGCCCACCAGCTAATTACATCAAAGACTCCAGGACAAGGGGGGTCTGCCTGGCGTGCACCCACACAGCCCCCACTAGAGCCTTCCTCTGAGGTGAGCCAGAATCCCAATGTTAATAGACATGAAAAGGTCTAGGAAAGCTGCCATGTTTTTAAAAAAAGAGCGCGGGGATCAAGCTTCCTCCCTCCCTCACTCACACACAGACCTTTATTGGCATTACTCCTCCCTCACTCCTTCCCTGAGCAGATGAGCAGAAAATCCAACAGGAGGAGCTAACTGCTGCAATCCAACCAATGTGTGTGTGACTCAGTCAACCACCGGTTGCTGCTGGGTCCTACAGAGACTCAGCTCATCACAGATGAGCTCAAACGGGGAGATGTTGGCTCAGATCGATCTGCGGGTGAGGGGGCCAGAGGGAGGGAGGGGGAGCTGAGGATCGGGGAAGGGGCCCACAAAACAGCGGGGTCCTCAAGCTTCAAAGGGTGAGGACAGGAGGGGGAGGAGGGGAGAAGAAAAGAGCCAAGAACCTGACTCTCCAGTAAAAATTGGTCCCCTGATGGTGCTGTTAGCTTTACTAAAGAAACAGATAATGCATCTGTTTTTTAGATCAAGATGGGTAGCCATGTTAGTCTGTCTGTAACAGTAGAAAAGAGTAAGAGTCCAATAGAATCTTAAAGACTAAAATCTGTGGTAGGGCATGAGCTTTTGTGAGTCACTGCTATCTAAAGAAGTGAGCAGTGACTCATGGAAGCTCATACCCTACCAAAAATTTTAGTCTTTAAGATGCTACTGGACTCTTACTCTTTTTTACTACATCTGCTTTTTGTTATTGTTGTTCTTCCTGTTTGGGAAAGGGTTTGATTCCTATTTGGGAGAGGGTGCAAGAGAAAAGGGTTAAATCTTCCTGGTATTCCGGGCCTAACCCAAATTTCAATTATTTATTTCTATATTTTTATCCCACTTTTCTCCCCAATGAAGATTTTTTTTTTTTTTAATTTATTATTTCGATTTTTATCCCGCCCTCCCCGTAGGTCTTAATGTGGCTTACGAAATAGGAAAATACAGTTTGCAAACTACAATTTAAACAGAAAAAAACTGAATAGTGGTACATACTACTTTCTGGGCTAGTCCTGATATGCTGGCCCAGTTCACTTAGGCTCTTTACCAGGCTTCATTACCTTGAAACAAAGGAGAAACAGAAGCCCAGACCAGAGCACATTCCAGTGTCATAAAGATATCCCCCACTATCCTCCCCTGCCAGCTTCTCTCCCCTGCAGCTACTCTTAAAGGTTAAAGAAAATACTGGCATATCCAATTACAGATCTCTCACATATCCTAAAAGAAATCAACCCTGACTGGTCCCTGGACGGCCAGATAATGAAACTGAAGCTCAAATACTTTGGCCACCAAATGAGAAGGGAGCACTCACTGGAGAAGACCCTGATGCTGGGAAAGATTGAAGGTCAAAGAAGACGAGGATGGCAAAGGATGAGATGGTTAGACAGTGTCATAGATGCAACGAACATGAAATTGAGCCAACTTCAGAGGATGGCGGAAGACAGGAAGGCCTGGCGTGATCTGGTCCATGGGGTCGCAAAGAGTCGGACGCGACTGTGCGACTGAACAACAACAACACATATCCTCCTCTGAAAGCAGCCTCCTGAACTACCCATCCAAAGGGAACTTGGGGTGCAGCAGCTGATGCAACACAAAGAGTTACGGTTAGGGGACATGATCCATGAAGAAGTTGGACACATTTCAAAGGGTGCTGGCCCTGGTTGCAGGAGTCATGACTTTGAAAGAATGGCTGACATGTACACCAAAATTAAAACTCAAGATGTAAAGAAAGAGAGGCCACAACTAATTATTTTTTCAGTATTTAATGTTTCACTCAATACTGTATAATTATTCTGAGCCTTGCAGTAAGGATTAATAACATCAGAGGCCTTTTGTCACTCCATGTGCAAAGGATGGGCAAAAAATGGGCCATCTCACAGTCAGTCATGTATCTCCTGATCCTAGTTTTTGTTCCGTTCCTGCCTGAAATATTATGACATTGAAACTTCCCTCGCACAACACAGCAGTGCCAAACTCTTCACTTGTCTGAACTATTTCTTTACTGCAAGCCTTCCCTTTTCTTGAGGCATATTCATATTTGTACTCATGGCTTTTGTTAAAAGTACATTCCTAAAACACCATCTGTGGAGCTTCATCTTTTCAAAGATCCCTCGCAAAAAAACAGGGTGCTAAGATGCATGGCCAGTTGCCATTCTGCTTGCTGAAAGACCAATAGAGTAGAAGACCTTCTTAGTAGAACAAAGCCCACTTCAGAAACTTGCAATCTGTTCACTTAAAATCTATTGCATTAAGCTTCTCCGTAATCTGGGCAAATAACAATGCAAATCTATGCAGACCATTGACTTCAATGGATTTATGATTACCCTGTAGGATACAGCAAAGAAGATCTGTGATCCCTGACTGACGAAGAACGTGCTAGTGGTAGTGATTATCCAGATCTGCATGTTTTATTTTAGAATATGTCAGCAATTCTTCAGTAAGCACCCCACGAAAATGTACATACAGTTTATTTAGGAAATTGTTTTAAATTATTTAAACTGCAGTCAGCCCATTAGGGATTCTCCTGTCTAAAAATGATACATGAAACATCTTCTGTAAACCTTGGCAGTCCCCCCCCCCCATTCAATTTAGTTACAAACTTCTTTCTTCATCTTCATGAAGAGCTTATGCCACTAAGGGACGTGGAGCCACTTCTGTGTGGTAAACTGGGGAAGAGTTTAGGGAGGAAGACCAAGCATTTCTATGAGTGCTACTTATCTCATGTGCAACAAAAACACTGAACACCATTTTAATGAATCTTGCTTAAGATACAGAAGTAGCAGAGCTATTTCCTTACTACAGAGCCAGAAAGGGAGGAAGATGTATGGAAATGCTGTTTTCTAATTGTCCTAAACATTTCTTCAACTATCTTGACAGCTCCTTTGGAAGAACAGTTTCTCATCAGGCAAAAAAGCCAGTGATGCACCCACTGAATGTAAATTTTGATCAAGGCTGCCTGCCAGTGCTTATAGAACAGGCAAGGAAAATGCAACATAGAATACAAGCAAGGAGTATCCCCTCACAATCTTGCACAATTATTCATCTCTCATAGCAGAGGGAAGTGGAAGAGGAAAACTGACTTCATTTTGGCAATATTTGTATTAATGTATGTGATGCTGCAGTTTTCAGAAACCTTTGCAACCTCTTTTATCAGATTCCTTTCCACGGCAGATGCAAAAAGGTTGCAACACTAGGCAGGCCCACAAAAGCAGACACAATCCAAAATGGTCCTGATGATGCTTCCCACTAGAGCTGCAAACATATTTGATAACAGGTCCAGAGGAACAGCTCTGTTTCTCTGTTGCAGCAAAAAATAAACAGAAGTCTTGTAGCACCTGAAAAACTAACAGAATTCTAGTCCTGCATAAGCTTTGGTAGGCAAGAGACTTTTGAAGCTCACTTTGCATCTGTTGAAGTGGGCTCTTGTCCACAAAAGCTTGTGCTGAATAAAAATGTGTTAGTTTTGGGGTGCCATAAGGCTCCTGTTTATTTCAGATAACAGTTACTACCTAAGAAAACTTCTGAGTCACACAAAAACGTGAAGAACCCCTATCTTGAACGAAAAAATCCAAACCTTGGGAATGAGGATCTGCATGTATGTCAAGCTTGGGGCACCAAATTTAACATAAGAAGAAATAAAAGTGAAGCTGGGAAAATATTTGTCTCTTGCATTCTTTTTCATTCTATTTCTATTAGAAAGCAACATATTCTTCTAATTAAGCAACAATTTGGACCAATATCCCAAGACACTTGTATGGCCAACTTAATCAGGAAAGAAAGAAAGAAAGAAAGAAAGAAAGAAAGAAAGAAAGAAAGAAAGAAAGAAAGAAAGAAAGAAAGAAAGAAAGAAAGAAAGAAAGAAAGAAAGAAAGAAAGACCTCGAGTACTTTAGATAAAGCTGAAGTTACTTGTTTTTACCTCAAATCTGCTTAGACTCGAGCTCTTTGAGCGAGACTTCTTGCGGAGATACACTGAGAAGAACCGGCGCACTGTGAACTTCTTCATATTCATTTCCATCGCCCCGTTCAGAACGGCAGGTTAAAGGAAAGGCGGATCTGCAGTGGCAGAGCAATGCTAGGGCATTCCGCTAGTCTCCAATGTTAAATCCATCCGAGAAAGAAACGGAGGACGAGCTTTCCTTGGCAGGGAAAGGTTCCTTTTAGAATTCATTAAGTCCTGGAAGGAGCTGTTAAACACATCAAAGGCACATCTCAAGAGCCACCGAGGCTTGCAGCACGCGACTTACTGGGTGGGAAAGAAACGGCTTGTTCACCGGGTCGCCCTCGTCCGTGTTTACATTTCATTGCTGCAAGCCCAACTCTCTTCCTCTCCACCCTCTTTCCGTCCGTCCGTCCCTCCCTCCCGCGCCTTAGGTCCTACTATGTCCAATCGGAGTCGTCGTTTCCTGCCTGCATAAAAAGCTACAGTACATGACAGCTTCCAGCTCCCAGCCCCGAAGATCCGAGATAAATATTAGATGCCCCTATTACCGGCACTCCTCCGCCCATCTTGGGAGCAGGTCTTTGTCAGTTTCCTGGCTTCTGAGCGCCAGGCTGCACTTCTGTTTTAAGCAGCTTGGAAACTGCAGCGCAGAGAGAGCTATAATTATCTCGGTCCGATTTGGGAAGATAAGAGCTCTCACAAAGGAGATTCTCCCGTCAGCCCGTCACCTCAGGCCTCTGCAACTATACTTCGTGGTACTACTGTGAATGCCTCCCCTCTCAATCACTTTTCTAGACTTCTTGTTTCCCCCACCCAGACTTAAAAAAAAAAAAAAAGACTCCGCCCACACAAAGAATATCGAGGACTCCACAACATTAAATCGATTAATTCAAATGATACAGATGTCTGATAAAGTAAAGCACTATAATGGAATGGCTTTGCCTAGTATACATCACAGGCAAAGGATTATGCCCCGGGTACTCCCTAATTTATTAGAATCTCCTCATTGCTGTTAAAATGCAATGCCAGGTGTGAGAATGGAAAATCCATCCTCTTGCTCCTTTGCCCCCTGATAATGAGTATGGCAGGAAGATTTTAAAAGTGCAAAGGCATGTGTAAATCTGGTTAACTTATCTAGTGGCTCTCCCACATTATTGGGAAGCTTATCTTCTGGATAAGAATTCAGATTTAATATACAGGAAGCCTGTTCCAATGTCCTTCAGGCCTTGTAAAGGTAAAGGTTTCCCTTGCTCAAAAGCTAGTCGAATCTGACTCTACGGGGCAGTGCTCATCTCCGTTTCCAAGCCAAAGAGCCAGCGCTGTCCAAAGACATTTCCGTGGTCATGTGGCCGGCATGACTAAATGCCGAGGTGCATGGAATGCTGTTACCTTCCCACCAAACTGGAGAGCCAGTTTGGTGTAGTGGTTAAGTGAGCGGACTGTAATCTGGGAGAACTGGGTTTGATTCCCCACTCCTCCACTTGCACCTGGCTGGATGACCTTGGGCAAGCTGTAGTTCTGATAAGAGCTGTTCTTGAAAAAAGAGCAGTTTCTGACAAGAGCTCTCTCAGCCCCACCTACCTCACAGGGTGTCTGTTGTGGGGAGGGGAAGGGGAAGGAGTTTGTAAACCGCTCTGAGACACCTTTGGGTAGTGAAGGGCGGGGTATAAATCCAATCTCTTCCTCTTCTTCTTCTTCAAAGTGGTACCTATTTATCTACTTGCAATTTCTTGCTTTCGGACTGCTAGTTGGCAGGAGCTGGGGCCAGAGATGGGAGCTCACTCTGTCACATGGCACTAGAGTCTCGAACTGCTGTACTACAAACCTTCTGGTCTGCAGCTTAGCGTCTTAACTTCTACCCTCTCCTTAACCTAAACTGCTGAGATGACTGCATAGTAAAATATAGTACATCAGTGGTAATGTAAAGGGCAGTAGGACTTTTAGAGGAGAGAGACCAAGTTACAGTTCTGCCAGCTTCCAGTCTCTGCCTACCCTGTTCACCCAAAGAAAAAGAGCAGCAGCTCCCAACCTCGGGACCAGGGACTGGGGGGGGGGGGTACTAAGTTTTGTCATTTTCATCTTTTTGTCATTTGTCCAATAAAACAAAAGTTTATTAATCAAGTCAAGGAATTGCAATAAAGGAAATAAAAACAACAAAGTAGTCCTAGCAGCCACATATGCTCTGGGAATTTCCACACTGGACTACTGCAATGTGCTGCACATGGATCTGTTTGAAAAATTATTGGAAATTTCAACTAATCTAAAATGCAGCCATGCAGTCACTGTCCAGGGCAAGTCACTATGGTTATATTATACCAGTCTCAATCCAACTTCACTGCCTTCCAATTTGTTTTGGATCCACTTCAAAGTACTGGTTTTCAGCTTTTAAGTGCTAAATGATTTAGGACTGGGATAGTTGCCTTTTCCAGCATGACCTACCCAGATGCGGAGGTCCTCAATTGCACACAGCTGCTATTTAGAGGTTCGGTAGATGGCAAAATATGAGAGGGCCTTTTCATTGGCAGTACTGAAGCTCTGCAACACCATCTTCTGTGAGTCACCCTTGGCACCCTCCTTTTAACTCGCAGGTGGATAGTTAAAATGATGCTATTCCACCAGGGCTTTTCGGTTAGCATACAAATGTTTAGTTGCTGGATGGGACTGATGATGGAGCCTATTCCTGCTGCTGGTGGTTTTTCTTTAGGTCTTTTTTCTTTGTTCTGATCTCTGATAGCTGGTCTACTCTTTTAGCAGTTCTTATTGCTGTACTGGTCTATTTTAATGCTTCTGTTAAGTATTGTAGCAGAGATTCTGCAATGATATGAGCCATTCTGAGGGTACTATTGATACCAGAAGTAAGGATATAAATGTTTTAGAAAGACAATCCATGGCAAAAGGCAGTACTTCCAACAAGAAATAACCTGATTTTGGAATGTTTCCTGTATAAAATATAAGGCAGGACAGGTCTAGGCTAGTCTAGGCAAGTTAGGGCTTGTCTCAGTCCCTGCACATTCAGTGTATATATGCAAATCTGTACCTTAGAAATGGCTGCAAATCAGCCATTTCCAATACAAATTAATAGAGGAAGATACATAGATTGATTTCAATTAACATGTAATATTCCTAACTTAGTCTCTTCGTGACATCTATGCTGGCAGTTTCCCATGGGAACAATTCTCTTTACATTAGCTGGGAAAATCTCTTCAGTACTTTTGAATTTCAGTACAATTCACACCCTCAAAACCCCAAAGCTTTTTTCTTTGTTCCATGAAGTTTTTCACTTTTGCTAACATTTCCTTTCCATCCCAAAAGACTAAGATGAAGGGGGGGAAATGGTGCAGAGGGGGAAAAAATCTTTAATGATTGTACAACCGCTATGTGTTTTGCATGCAGCTTCATCAGGGGGAATCTACTTTTGGGTTCTTTTTAGTTCTGTTCCCATACATAAGTCACTTACACAGAAAAACGCATAAAGGTTGTACAATTATTAAAGATTCTTTCCCCTCTGCACCAATTTTTGTTGCCTTGGTTTGGCCCCCTTTCCTCTTCATCCCAGAAGACTGATACATAGGAAAACATCTTTCTCCTTCACTGAAACAGAACTTCTCTGATGATTTATGCATTACTCAGCTGAGATGGACTGAGGCAAGGATGACAACACCAGTCTGAAGACAGTCATCCTTAGAGGCCATTTGACACCACTGACACCAATTGGTCAGCCTGAAAGATCATATAGTGAATAAATATAATTGCTTATCAAGTATACAGGCAATTATCGGTTTAGTTGTCTTAGCCTATTCTTCTGATCAATTGCCTTTTGTACCCTGGCTATAAATGTAATTAAAAATAAATTTTTAAAAAGAGTTGAGGATATAGTTTCATAAAATCTCATGTTAATGTTTCTTCCTATCCAGCATTTTGTGGCACCACTTCATAGAATGCTGACAGAGAATCTAAAGATAAAATGGAATCCATTTCATACTGATTTTAACAGTCATAGCTAACACCCAAAGAATCCTTTCCATAATGCTCGGTTTGAATATGTGGTAGAATGATGTGGTACAATCCTGAATTACTTGTGCCACTTCAGACATCAGGTGAAAGCTGTCATTTTGAATGTTCCCCCACATCAAACCTTTCCTGAAAATACCCATAAGTAAAGAAAACCATTCCCGGCCATTTTAGTTTACTTCTGGAGGATTATTATTTTTAGACAGGAGACACTGGTGAATGTGCTTGTCTGCTTGCATGTCAGGCACTCTTCTCAGGTGTTCTGGCTTGATGAATAACACATTCTTCTCTCCCCAGGGCAATATGGCCATGTCTTTGATTTTGTTCCATCTTAAACTTTATTCTGTCATGGTGGTTTACCTCCAATGGCAGTAACTGTATTGTCTGTGCATATATGTACATGATTGGACTGCATATGATTTTTAAATTCCAGAAGCATAAAACCTAGGGCCAAACGACATGTTATGGTGGACACGGGTCCAACCCATGGCAACTGATGCCATTTTAGAGGAAAACGTATCCATTTAAAAATTGGTGCTGCAGCAGCACCAGGTGACCTTGCCCCCACCCCTGCCTTAGCAAATCCACAGTCCATCCAGATCCACAGTCCATCCAAGTAGATATGTATGTAAGACTGAACTGACAATGTAAAACAACTAAGATAGACAGCACTTGATTTACTCAGTGACTACAATAAAATGGTGTGAGTGAAGCAATAAATTAAATTGGAAATTGTCCTGCTGTCAGATTAATTTACTGTGTGAAAAACTTAGATTAGGAATTCATGATAGTAAATAATTCATTGACTCCCTGCAGTGGAACATTTCCTGGGCAGAAGCAAATGGGAAAGAAATCAACAAAATGGCAGTGCAGGGGTGAGATCTATTCAAGAAAAGTGCAGGGCTAAATAAGAAACTATGCCCACAAGTAGTAGCAGCAGCATTGAAATATATTACAGGAGCAAGTTATATAATGCATCATATAAGAGATTATCAATTATTATATTTACATCCTGCCTTTTTCCCATCATTCAACTCAAGGGGGCATGCACAGGATTAAAAGGATTTCTCCCATTAAGGTTTTAACCAAACTGAGACCTGTTTAGCTTTAGCAAAGTTGCTGTATCATGC